TATTTGTATAAGCACTGCCACACAAGGATAATGTCAAAACCACTGGACACCATGTAGATCCATTATACACCAATTCAAAATATTACATTGTCGGTTAATGAACAAGTATCATAATTCAGACATTTCAAAGGCACTGTAAACTTGTTTATATTTACTGATAACACTGGTTAGTTGAAAATTGAATATACCTGAACTCTGTAGTCTGTTTACTTGTTTATTCTAGTTCTAGTGTTTTCAATCACTGTTTTCCTCACAATATACTTTATTATGTGTCAAGTCATTCCTTCTATTCTTTTAAAAAAATAAGTCTGTTGCTTTTCTCAAATATTTATTCTTCTAAAACTTCAAAAATGGTCAAATTTCTTAAAGTCACTGAGATTTTACTAAAATTGCATTAATTATACTTTAAGATTTAGAACTATTGTAATATACATAAATAAGTAATACCTGGTATATATAATTTATATTATTACTTATATTTATTTTTTTATCCTCACTCTAGGTGTGAGGATATTTTTTCCATTGATTTTTAGAGAGAGTGGAAGGGAGGAGGAGGAAGGGAAGGAGGGAGGAGAGAAAGATCAATGTTACAGAGACACATCAATTGGTTGCCTCCCACATGAACCCAAAAGAGGAGGAGTGGTCAGGGAGCAGAGAGACTGAACCCATGACCCTGTAGTGGGCAGGCCAATGCTCTAACCACTGAGTCATGCTGGCCAGGGCTATTTATATTACTATAGAGTAAATAAATATAAACTTCCTTTAAGGTAAATACCTAATAACCAACCAAAAAAAAAAAAAAAATGTTCCAGATTACATTCTTTAGGTACATTTATAAAAAAGTGACACATCATTAATTTTATCACCCAATATTTTAGTTATTGTGAATGGCATTCTAGTCTTTTATTTTTATTTTATTTTTATTTTTTAAATATATTTTATTGATTTTTTACAGAGAGGAAGGGAGAGATATAGAGAGCTAGAAATGTCGATGAGAGAGAAACATCGACCAGCTGCCTCTTGCACATCCCCTACTGGGGATGTGCCCGCAGCCCAGGTACATGCCCTTGACCGGAATCGAACCTGGGACCTTTCAGTCCGCAGACTGATGCTCTATCCACTGAGCCAAACCGGTTTCGGCATAGTCTTTTAAATATATATACCAATTAATCACAAATGAATAAAAGAAAATTAATAATACTATCAATCTTGTTGTTTATCATAATGCTCAACTCATTATTTCTAAGGTTTCAAGTGACTCTTACAATTACAAAAAAACAGTATCATCTGAATATAATTTTATTCTCAAATACCTTGGGACACAATTTATAATGCTATTACATATTGGTATCACCTTTCTGTGAAACATTTCAGCAGTACTTATCAAGCACATTAAAAACATTTGTAATCTAGCCCCCAGGATCCTTTCCCAGAGCTGTATCTTACTAGATGCATTTAGAGATTTATATACAAAGCCATTCATAACAATAAAAAACAACCAGAAATGGGCTAAGGGATAAATAGATTATTTATCTACAGGACAAACTATTGTGAAATCATTAAAAATCATTTTTAGAAACCAACTTAATGGTAGGGAAAAATGGTAGGGCATATTATTGAGGGGTGAAAATTCAGAATACACAGCTATATTTTATTATGTGTTATGTATATTAAAACGTTATTAGGGAAATTATTAGAAAGAAATTAACATGATTCTAATACCAATGAAAACAATTGTTTTAAAAATTATAAAATCTCTATATGTTTCAATTTCATAATGGGATTCTTTATTTACAGAGGGAGAAAAAACAGAAACAAAACAGTTCTAATATAGTAAATATTCTAAATTCCTGGTACTGCACAGACACTGTATTCACAACCCATCTGTCTATGAGTCAGAAAGAAATTTGCGTCACCCAAGTTGTTAAAGTCACCCACAGCAAAGAAGCTGGCAGCAATTTTTTTGTCTGTGAGCTCTAGATCTTAATCTTATTTATTATTTATTCCAGTTTGGTCTTACATGTAAATCACACATCATTGCCCAGTATATAGTACAAATGAAAAAAACTGGGGAAAACAATACCTTCTACAAATACCTACCTTTCTGTTTATTCAACAAACCATTATCTTTAATAAATAAAAAATTTAGTTCAGAGATTTATAGCTCCTCATGTGTTAAGGGACATTACTCCCCAAAGATCAGGAAAAAAAGGTGGCTCAGTGTTCACGGGAGGAGGGAGGGGGAGAGGAGGCTTATGTGAAAAAATTTACAAAGTAAAATGTACTGATGTACAGTTCTTCTCAGTTTATCTCTGACAAAGCTAAATAGAAAATAATTTTAGATAAGGACCCAAAAAATTAATGGGTAAAATTCAACCTACCAGTAACAGTAACTAAACTACTGAATTAAATCACTCAGGTGTTTTCCCTACAAAGTATTTTAGAAACAGTTGCTGCTGCATATGTAGTCCCTGGCATTAATCTTAGTACAAAAGACTGAAAGAATTTCAGTAGCTATTACTATTACAGCAATTTCAAATTTTAGAATGTGTAAGTTTTAAATAATTGTCTGATTTGTTCCTCACAATCTCCTTTAAAGTTGAGTATGTATTACCAAACCCATTTTAGAGTTAGTTACATACCTACTGATAATGCTGGTTACTTAATTCTACATCTAATATTCAGTATTATTCCAACAAGACTGTGAACTGTAAGCCTAGCCAGTGTGGCTCAGTGGCTGAGCATTGACCTATGAACCAGGAGGTTACTGTTCAATTCCAGTCAGGCACATGCCTGTGCTGTGGGCTTGATCCCCAGCAGGGGGCATGCAGGAGGCAGCAGATCAATAATTCTCTCTCATTACTGATGTTTTTATCTCTCCCTCTCCCTTTCTCTCTCTGATATATATATATATATATATATATTTTTTTTTTTTTTTTTAAGAATATAAGTTTAAGAGGGCGGCAGGAATTTTTGTCTGCTTCCAGAAGAGTGCCTGGCACATAGCTATGGAAATATATGGTAACTTTCCTCTATAGAAATATGCCTAAGGAGCCAAAACAGTGGGAATAAAAATTAATATAAACCCTCCAAGGCTATTGTGAATAAGAGAATAATCTAATCTCACAGGAGAAGGGAGTGGGAGGCAGGGGCAGGAAGAGATCAAATAATTTATATGCATATATGCATATCCCATGGACTCAGGCAACAGTGCCAGGAATGCCGGAGGGGACTGAATGGAGGGGGCGATAAAGGGGCGGAAATCTGTAATACTGTCAATAACAGAAAATAAAATTTAAAAAATAATCTAAATTGTTATATTATTCTGATAATGTAACAGTAACTACATTTTATCTATCTTATGATATAGCATAAGAACGCATTTTTATAAAATAAGACTGTTTCAATATAACTGTATTAAGAGTTACTTAATGTGCATTCTTTAACAATTTTATTAAAAACATCTTAATAGCTTGCCAAAACATAGTCACTTATGAGTTAAAAATATAAAATGACTCATTTATATTTGACAAGAATAATGATTAACTCAAAAACAACAACAAAAAGACACAATGGAAAAATAATTTTTCTTTGCCAGAATCGTAAAATATTTACACAACCCATTCATCTAAAGCAAGTAATGTTTGTGATATATTTCAGGATTGTAAAATACGCCCAAAACTTTTGCTGATAGGATTATCCTTAAATTTATATTTCAGAAACTTGGTGTTCATGAAGATGGAATGTGTTTTATAAAATGCCCTTTATACAGTTAAATCAGACTGTCCCTTCTTTTGACATTCACCAATATCATGAAAGTATTTTGTTTAATATAAGGGCCGTTCACCTGTTTTTTGGGTAGAGGGTTCAGAAAATACTTTACAACTCTCAGAAAAAAATATGCATTAAATATTCTACATTTATACATTGAGCAAAGAAGCTATTTTTAAAAAAATATATATATATATATTTTATTTTATTTTTTTTTACAGAGAGGAATAGGAAGGGAAAGAGAGTTAGAAACATCAATGAGAGAGAAACATCAGTCAGCTGCCTCCTGCATGCCTCCTACTGGGGATGTGCCCACAACCAAGGTACATGCCCTTGACCAGAATCGAACCTGGGACCCTTCAGTCTACAGCCCAACGTTCTATCCACCGAGCCAAACCAGCTAGGGCCGTGGTCGACAAACTGCGGCTCACGAGCCACATGCAGAAATTTGGCCCCTTGAGTGTGGCTCTTCCACAAAATACCATGGTCTGGGAGAGTGTAACTTGAAGTGCTATTAGAAGAAGTTTAAGTTTAAAAAATTTGGCTCTCAAAAGAAATTTCAATCATTGTACTGTTGATATTTGGCTCTGTTGACTAATGAGTTTGCCGACAACTAACTAGGGCAAAGAAGCTATTCTTATGGACATTTGCCTTAGAAGAATCACAACCATTTAACCTTAAAAGAAATGTGTTCTTAAAAATTTGTTCCCATGTTATTTACATTACTCAACATTTCTGCAAAAGAACAATGCGTTTGCCAGTATTGTTACATAGGGAACAAACAATGATCATAAAATTCTGTTACAAATTTTTTGGGTCAGAATAGGAATACATTTGGTGTTAGAGTTTTAACTCCAAGCTTGAAGTATTCTAATTCCATTTTCCCTTCACTCTACTAAAGTGTAAAATATAATAAGAAAGATTTTAGTAATAGAATTAAAATCAACTTTACTACTAAGACACTGAAACACACTAGTTTTAAAAGGAAAGAAGTCACACATTAGCCTAAGTATATAATAACCATTCATAAAAAGTGTTATACTAAGAATTATGGTGAAACATTACCAACATGGCCAAATATCATGTTTTTTTACTAGTACATTTCATTTTATTAAAATAATTACTAAGTTTTAATGTGATACTAAATCAATGGATATTTTTCAAAGCATACAAATCATTTGATATTTAATATTATATCCATGCTCTAATTTCATCGATATTAAACTTACCTTTCCTTTTGGTCCAGATTGCTTAAAACATAAAAAAGAAAAAAAATGTAAGAGGTAAGACCTCATTTTTTTATATATCACTGTAGTTTTAGTAACTGTAAATAAGGTAAAACTCTAATGTGATTAATTTGTTTTCATACATTATATACTGTTTTGAATCTTGTCAGATATGTAAATTGTTTTTCAATTTTTGTCAATAGAGAAAATACGTTATATCTAAACATATTTAAGGAAGAAAAAATTATATACAAAGATATGAAAAATTCTTGAAAGCTTTAACCACCCAACATTTGAGTATATGTTATTTATAGTTATGTAAATAAGTCTTCAAGAAACAATACAATTTCCTGAAAGTCATACAATAATTTTAGTGGTTCCAACTCTATTATTAGATGTGATTATTTGATTCTGAGCAAGAAAAAGAAATTTTAAAGTTGAAACTTTTGCACCAAAGCCTTATTGTATGGTTTGAGATACAAGGAAAGTTGTGAGATTTAAGATGATGGCCTCTAAAAAAAATGCTAATGTATATAAAAGATCCACCCTTCTCCATAGTTCATAGAAAACATAAAAAACTACCAACATTAATTACTTAAAAGTTATTAAAGCCCTCAATTTAGAATAAAATCCACATTCTAAAAATATTACTTTTTATTAGTAAAGAAACTAAATATTCAGAACTAAGCAAAAACAGATTGCAAAATCCTTAAGTCCCCACATTAACTCTTGTATTTATTTTCCCCTATGGGCCTTTCAAGTCTTTTTTACCTACCCTTAATAAAAACAAACAAACAAAAAACCCCAAAAAGTGAAATGTAAGTAAAACATAAACCACTAAATGTACTCTTGTAGCAAGACTTATAAAAATTAGAGGTGAAGCCGAAACCGGTTTGGCTCAGTGGTAGAGCGTCGGTCTGTGGACTGAAAGGTCCCAGGTTCGATTCCGGTCAAGGGCATGTACATTGGTTGCGGGCACATCCCCGGTGGGGGGTGTGCAAGAGGCAGCTGGTCGATGTTTCTCTCTCATCGACCTCATCGACGTTTCTAGCTCTCTATCTCCCTCCCTTCCTCTCTGTAAAAAATCAATAAAATGTATTAAAAAAAAAATTAGAGGTGAAGATGGTATTCAGTTATATACATTTTTTAATTTCTGCTTTTTTTCATACCTTCTCCTCCATCACTGTTAGTAAATCAAGAACCTATCTTTTAATATGAATTAAATTAACATTTGGAATAGCAATAAGAAAATAGGGATGGTAATATCCTCCCATATAGTAGCTAATCTCATCTGATATTTTAACAATCTCCTTTTTTTTTTTTAGATTAAAAAGGTGTGACATACTTGTTCCTGTATCTTACTAAATCACTATAAATTATTAAAAAAACAGGTCTGATTTATTTACGGGACGAGTTATACCACACTCTAAGAAGAATAGACTGTATGTGTGAATTACTAACTGGTGGCATATCTTTTAATTTCAAATTAAGGGTTGAAAAAATAAAAATTAGAAACTATTAAAAAACCAATGCGCTACCGTCACCTGAAGCCTACTAAGTAAAACCAATGAGTAAATATCTTTTTTTTCATGACTCTGACTATGTGGTTTCTGTTGCATGCAGTACTCAAAAGTTACTTTAACACTTCCTTTGTGAATTACCGTATTTTTCGGACCATAAGACGCACCGGACCATAAGACGCACCAGTTTTTAGAGAAGGGAAATGAAGAAAAAAAGATTCTGAAACAAATAGTGTCCTAAAATATTTTATGTGCATTAAAACCCAACATCACAGTCATAATCACATGTAATCAACCCTGTAAAGTAAACAGCAGCATTTAGAACCATTTTAGAGCCGGGCAAGCACACAGAGACCACACAGAGCCGGGCAAGTAAAAAAATTTTTTTTTAAAGTATATGTGTAGACTATATTTGGACCATAAGACGCAGGGACTTTTTCCCCCCACTTCTGGGGGGAAAAAAGTGCGTCTTATGGTCTGAAAAATACGGTATATACCCCTCCCTTTTCTGTAAATAGTACTACACATACTTTGTATATCTCTCCTACTACAATTACCAGGAAATTGTTTGTTCACTTGCTTTCTGACCTCCACCTTAATCAGACTTGAATTTTAAGGCAGGGACTTTGTCATATTCATCTTTGACTACTCTGTACCTCACCTATGCCTGATATATAGTATGAAATGAATGTTTTTGAAGGAAGAAAACTGGAAAAACTCTCAATGACTTGTCTTTGAATTTTAAAATATTTTCAATGACAGTTACTTTGCAATAGGAGGTATAAAAATGCTTACTCTATAAATAAAAAATAAAAGTAGAATCTATCCTGCTGACAAAACTTTGTGTTTTCCTTATTGCTCCTGGTTTTTCTTGTCAAGTATTTTAGTTCAGGATTGTTTCTTTAAATATAAACTAAGTCAGATTTTGGTTTTTTATTTATTTATTTATTTTTATTTTTATTTTTATTTATTTATTTTTATAAATATATATTTTATTGATTTTTTACAGAGAGGAAGAGAGAGGGATAGAGAGCTAGAAACATTGATGAGAGAGAAACATCAACCAGCTGCCTCTTGCACACCCCCCACAGGGGTGTGCCCGCAACCAAGGTACATGCCCTTGACCGGAATCGAACCTGGCACCTTTCAGTCCGTAGTAGACCGATGCTCTTTCCACTGAGCCAAACCGATTTCGGCTCGTTTTTTATTTTTAAGAAAAATTTTACTAGTGAATAGCAGTTCCGATTAACAGAATCTAATCTTTCATGAACATGAGTAATGATACACATGCATGGTATAACAAAGTATGCAGACCTAGAATAAAACAAAGCAAACCAATTTCCAGAATAAAGTCAGTTTTTTAACATAACCAACAAGGAAAAGGGAATGAGGAGGAGTCATAGTGTAAATAAATCCAAACTAACTTCAAAAGCAATAATAATTTTGGTTGCAGAACATATCACTTGATCATAAATTAGTATTTCAACTTAGAGCTCATTTTCACAATATCAAGAACACAGATCTTGCCGAAACCGGTTTGGCTCAATGGATAGAGCGTCGGCCTGCGGACTGAAAGGTCCCAGGTTTGATTCGGTCAAGGCATGTTCCGTGGTTGTGGGCACATCCCCAATAGGGGGATGTGCAAGCGGCAGCTGATCGATGATTCTCTCTCATCGATGTTTCTAACTCTTTACCCTCTCTCTTCCTCTCTATAAAAAAATCAATAAAATATATATTAAAAAACAACAACAAAAAAAAACACAGATCTTTACCAGCAGTGGAATCTATCAATGTGATCAATGTGTGAGAAAATTATACCTCTCCCTTTTCTTTCCCCTCATTACTCTTTTTCTTATTTAGTCTCTTGTTTGTGCCACATGTATGCCAGAGAGCTAGACTTGTTTCTGTACTTTGTAATAAAGCAAGCCAATTTTTGGTAGTGCAGTGACTTCTCTTTCTTTTTAGTTGAATTTCGCAAATATTTTATATGAAAAGTATGATTAAAACCTGATATGTTTTAGTAAAAAAGTTTTTTTTTTTTACTATTCTAATACATGAGAAAGATTTAAGATTTTTAAGTAAAAAATACATGTTATAGAAAATCTATGTAAAAAGTAAACATAACAATGGTTTGTAATAGGACACTTTCTGAATGAGTAGCAGTCTAGATTAGTATTTTTAAATAATGAAGAATAGCATCTAACATATATACCAAATCTTTAAATTTTACTAGTTAGAAAAATTTTTATGTTAACAATTCATAATGCAAGAAATAAAGAGTTTATTTAATTGTTGGAGTCCTAGAATTTTTACTAAACTGAGATTGACTCAGAATTGAAATTTCATAATCATTTTTGGATGGTTATAAAAAACCTCAAAAGCATTTAAAGCACCAAAGCTTTCCCCATTATTTCAAGATTCAAGTAGTACTCCACAGCCAATGAGAACATCAGAATCAACTAAAACTACTAAAACACAAAATTTTCTAAAACATTTAAAACTAATTTTATGATTGATTTTGACACTATAAAATCCTATGAGCCTTATAAATAAAGTAAGGTAATAACTGTAGTGTTACTCATCAGAGCAAAACTACCAGCTGAAGATTTCTCTGTCATATACTGTAAGTTCCAATGTAATAAAATTAGTGTAACTTAACTGGAATATAATGCAATAAAATGGCTTTTATTTAAAGGAGGCATGGGTCATACTGACATACTTCAATGTGAGGTTGGGAGGACAAGAAGAGATAGACCAAAGAATTAATATAATTGTATGCACAGTCCATGGACACGGGCAATAGGACAGTGAAGACCTGAGTAGGGTGGGCAGGGGTGGGGGTAGGGGATAGGAATGGGAGATATCTGTAATACTATCAACAATAAAAAAGTTATTAAAATATAATAAATAAAAAGTCTCTGTACAAAATGTAATTTATTCAAAGGCAAATATAAAAATAAAATTCTATGACATGAGTTATTTCAGACATGATTTTTACAGACAACAGAAACAGTAAAATTTCACAAATTTAAAAAAATTGGTTTTAAAAAGAGTGAAAAAATTCCTATTAAAGGGCATGGTATATGTATACTAAATGAAGGCAATTAGAATCCTTTACCTTTGAGCTGCTGTTTTTACAACTGGTATCTGTGCATTAGCATGATGAAAACATCTACCATCAATAACAGTTCCAGAACGTAATGATGAATTCTGTGTATTTTCACTATAAATTCAAGAAAAAAAGAATAATTTGAACAATAAAAAATTACAAACACATATGCAAAATCCTTTAAAATCTGAGTGCATGCACAAAACCACTTAAAATGTATAAACCAAATTGGCCATGTTAAATTGTACATTAAGAGTTTTCTACTTTCTGAATTTATCTCTGAACTAGAGGCCTGGTGCATGAATTGGTGCATGGGTGGGTTTCAGCTATCTTGTCCAGATGGGGCTGGGGTGGCTGGGGGGAGAGGCCACAAGCTGTTGGCCAGCTGGCCCTGCTCCCTGGTAGAACTCCAGGTTGAACTCCCATTTAAGGGGACAATTTACATATTAGCCTTTTATTATATAGAATGTTTCCAATACAATTCAAGAAAGATAATAAAGAGTAGAACACTAGAATAGAAATCATGAATTCTAAATAAATGTTTAGTATTATAAGATTTCCAATAAATTAATTCAGATGTTTTCTTTCCTTAGTCTCTATTTATAAATGAGACTATTATAAAAAGTTTTTAAACCAGGAGCACTAGTTTTCTTGCATTCCAAAATAAAATGTTAATTGTAAAGAAAAAAATGTGTTCTAAATTCTATTTCTAATTCTACCACTGACTCAAAGGTTACTTAGCTTTTATGTACCTCCGTTGCCCGCCTCTAAATTGACCAAGTAGAAATGAAATAGTGATTTTCAACCCTACTTCTGGAAGATGTAACAGCCCAGTCATATCATAACAGTGTTTCACTCTGACAACTACTAGGAAAGGTGAAGTGCCTTTACCTCAACTTCTTTTTGTTGCTCAACATGTTAAGTCCAATTGGGTTGCCCTTTAAAGGTTTAAAATTATCAGACTTGTTTCGTCTTGCATATATCTTCCAAGAATCACCAGAACCAGTAGCAACAATTTCAGATTGACGAATTAACTGTAAAAAAAAAAATCCACAATTTATCAACTACTATTTGAAAACTAATTTATTAAAAAGGTAGTAAAATATACTAGCTATTAAGGAGGGGTGAGAAGGGTGGCAATGGCATGGATCGAAGAGCAATTCAACAATAATACTTTTATTTCCTAAGGCCAACATACACATAGAGGAACATGGGTTTTATGAAATTATTTTCTTTATTCAATATATTTTTATTGATTTCAGCCAGGAATATATTTTAATATATATTTTAATATATATTTTATTGATTTCAGCCTCTTTTCTACACCCATGTAGAAAAGAGGCATTATACAATTATCTCCTTCCCCCATCTTCCCTTTTAAAATAGACCTTTTTCCCCTTTATAAAACAAAGACATAATCATCACAACTTGTATTAGAACTTAATAACCTCCAAAAAAGAAATATTTGAAATATTAGTATCTGGAATCTCTTTTGGCACATAAAATAGTAGTAGCACTTCATATCTTTCCCTGTTTTACATTTATTTCTGTCAAAGGTGAACCATGGCTTAGAAACTGGATATTATGAACCAAAATAGGATTTTTTATTTTATTTTATTTTATTGATTTTTTACAGAGAGGAAGGGAAAGGGATAGTTAGAAGCTGCCTCCTGCACACTGCATACTGGAGATTTGCCCGCAACCAAGGTATCAATACATGCCCTTGACCTTTCAGTCCACAAGCCGACGCTCTATCCACTGAGCCAAACCGGGTTAGGGCTAGAGTAGGATTTTTTCTTTTTAAAAAAAATATATTTTATTGATTTTTTACAGAGAGGAAGAAAGAGAGAGGGATAGAGAGTTAGAAACATTGATGAGAGAAAACCAACCATCAGCTGCTTCTTGGGATGTGCCCACAACCAAGATACATGCCCTTGACCAGAATTGAACCTGGGACCTTTCAGTCCGCAGGCCGACATCCACTGAGCCAAACCGGTTTCCGCTAAAGTAGGATTTTCTTAATTCAGCTATGCTGCAAAATGGAAAAGCAAAAGTAAGGAAAATTTACATTTATGATCTTGTATCTTCTACTCCAATTATTTCCAGGAAAATCATTGTCCCAAAGAAAAATCAAGGGAGAACAATTCAAAGAAAGCATAAATTTAAAAAAAGGCCAAAATTGCCCTGGCCCATGTATCTCAGTTAATTACATCTTGCCCTTGTGCACAGAAAGGTGGCTGGTTGGATTCCAGGTTGGGTTTGGGCTCAGTCCCCAGTAGAGGGCTTGCAGGAAGCAGCAGATGGCTGTTAAGCTTTCATATCAATGTTCCTCTATTCTCTTTTCCTCTCCCTCTCTCAAAATCAATGAAAAATAAATAAATTAAATTTAAAGATACTAAAATCTGCTGTGTCTTATTATAACCAGGTAACAAACTCATAAAGAAACCAAAGCCATATTTTCCTGTCTTGGGATCCTGAAGTGAAATGGTTGCCATGATGATGATATTAACATGGATATTTGAAGTAAAAAATGAAAATAGTTTTATAGATAAACTAGAGGCCCAGCGCATGTAATTCGTGCACAGGGGAGGTGTGTGTGTGTTTTCCTTAGCCCAGTCTGCACCCTCTCCAATCTGGAACCCCTTGAGGAATGTCTGACTACTCATTCAGGCCCCTCTCACAATCCAGGACTGCTGACTGCCAATTGCTCGCCTGCCTGCCTCCCTGATTGCCACTAACTGCTTCTGCCTGCCATCGTGATCACCCCCTAAACACTCCCCTGCCAGCCTGATTGCCCGCCCCTCCCTTTTTTTTTTTTAGTTTTTAAAAAAAATACATTAAAAAAGTTATAAAATTTTTTACAAAAAATATTGTATTAGTAAAGGCACCCAAAATTTAACAATAGTTAAAATTTGCAATGAGCTGAAACCCGTTTGGCTCAGTGTTAGAGCGTCGGTCTGCAGACTGAAAGGTCCCAGGTTTGATTCTGGTCAAGGGCATGTACATTGGTTGCCGGCACATCCCTGATAGGGGGTGTGCAGGAGGCAGCTGGTCAATATTTCTCTCTCATCGACGTTTCTAGCTCTCTATCCATCTCTCCTCCTCTCTGTAAAAAAATCAATAAAATATATTTAAAAAAAATTTGCAATGACTTTTAAGTTTTTGGTTAAAAATACAATTTATAATTAACAAGTTTATTACTACCCAATTCTTGAGTCTTGAAAAAAGTCTTTTCAGTATATTTCACCCAAATTCAGAAAGACAATGACTCTTAATTACAAGTTTTATCTTTTTATTTATTTAAATATATATATATTTTTATTTATATTTCATTTACATCTTATTGATTTTTTACAGAGAGGAAAGGAGAGGAGCTAGAAACATCGATGATTGAGACATCGACTAGCTGCCTCCTGCACACCCTACATCAGGGATGTGCCTGCAACCAATGTACATGCCCTTGACCAGAATCGAATCTGGGAGCTTTCAGTCCGCAGACCGACGCTCTATCCACTGAGCCAAACCGGTTTCGGCAAATATATATATACATACATACATATATATACATATATATATATTTTTTTTTTCCTTTTTTAAATAAATTTTTATTGTTCATATTATTACAAATGTTCCTTACCCCCCCTCCCCCAAAGCTCTCCTCCACCAGGTTCCCACCCCACCCTCTGCCCTTTCCCCACTCACCATTGTCCTCATCCATAGGTGCACAGTTTATGTTCAGTCTCTTCCCACACCCCCCTCCCCTTTTCCCAAAGAATTGTCAGTTCACTACCCTTCCATACCTCTAATTCTATTATATTCAACAGTTAATATTGTTCATCAGATTTTTTTTTTAAATTTCCTTGGTTTTTAGATTCACTTGTTGATAGTTACGTATTTGTTGTTCTTAATTTTTATCTTTATTTACTTTCTCTTCTGAAAGAACCCCCTTCAGCAATTCATATAATTCTGGTTTGGTGGTGATGAACTCCTTTAGCTTTTTTTATTAGTGAAGCTCTTTATCTGACCTTTAATTCTGAGTGATAGCTTTGCTGGATAGATCATCTTTGGCTGTAGGTTACTATTCATCACCTTGAATATTTCTTGCCATTCCCATCTGGCCTGCATGGTTTCTGTTGAGAAGTCAGCTGACAATCATATAGGTGCTCCTTTATAGGTAACTACCTTCTTTGCTCTTGCTACTTTTAATATTCTCTCTCTGTCTTTTGCTTTTGGAATTTTAATTATGATGTGTCTTGGTGTGGTCCTCTTTGGATTCCTTTTGTTTGGAGTTCTGTGCGCTTCCTGGACTTGTAAGTCTAATTCTTTCACCAGGTGGGGGAAGTTTTCTGTCACTATTTCTTTCAGTATGTTTTCGATATCTTGCTCTCTCTCATCTTCTGGAACCCCCATAATTCTGATGTTGGTTCGCTTGAAGTTGTCCCAGAGGTTTCTTACATTATCTTCAATTTTCTGGATTCTCTTGCCTTCTACCTTCTGCGGAGTGTCTTCTGGCTCTTTATGTTCCAACTCTTTGACTTGATTCTTGCGGTCTCCCATTCTGTTTTTAGGACTCTGTATAATATTTTTTATTTCAATCAATGTATTCTTTATTTCTTGTTGAACCCTTATCATTTCTTGTTGATTCCTTATAATTCTATTTAGTTGATCCCTTTTCATATCCTCATAGGTCTTATCCATCTTTTCTAGGAAATTCTTGAAAAACCTTATAAGTGTAGATTTGAACTCTATATCCAGTAGCTTTTTGTCCTCCATTTCTTTTGTTTGTGATCTATTTCGTCTTGGCATTTTCGCAGCTTTCCTGAGTTGGTAGCCTTAAAAGTCTCTGTGTTCTGCTTGAATGGGGCGTGGTTTCAGGGTGGAGCCTGCAGCTTTGGCTTCTGTCAGCCCCGTCCTATGCGGGTCCTTGCAAGTGCCACTGAGAGAAAGGTGCCCTCGATTTTCACCTGCTGCCAGTCTATGCTATCCCCCAATGAGCCCGGTATTGGAGTTCAGTTCAGTTGGAAATGGAGTTGGAGGTGGCACTCAGAGCAGACTGGAGCCCCTGTCTCCTTCCCACCAGGACAATTCCACGGCACAGCCGACAGTCCCTTCTCTGCGCGCAATGTGCGCGCCGCCGGGACCTCCTTTCACCGCTCCCCAGGGTCTAGCCTAGAACTGGGGTTCAGAGCAATCAGAACTGGGCCCAGCACAGTTGGAGCGTTTATCTCCTTCCCGCTAGGGAACACCCGCCAGGTACTCAGCCGCCCTCCTCTTCGGCTCTGTCCTCTCTGCGCGCCATGTGTCTCCATACCTTAGGCTTTTATAGCTCCAACGCACTTCCTTCTGGTTTTCTCCTTGCTTCTCGTTGTAGAATTTCCAGTCAGTTGACTTTCCTGTAGTTCTGGGTAATGTCCATTTTATGTTTTAGTTGTATTTTATTGAAATTGATGGATACCTGTCAGCCATCTTGGAACGACCCCCTATTTTGTCCAAATATATTTTTTTAATTGATTTTTAAAAAAATATATTTTATTGATTTTGTACAGAGAGGAAGGGAGAGAGTTAGAAACATCGATGAGAGAGAGTCATCGATCAGCTGCCTCTTGCACACCCCCTACTGGGGATATGCCCGCAACCAAGGTACATGCCCTTGACCAGAATCGAACCCGGGACCTTTCAGTCCACAGGCCGATGCTCTATCCACTGAGCCAAATCAGTTTCGGCAATTTTTATTTTTAAATGTTAGATTATTAGAGGATTTTTGGAAATTAACTCAAAAGAAAGCACTGAATAATAATACTATAGCAAAAATCTTTCCCTACCCATTTTATTATATGACATAGTACTTATGTAAATAAGATTTCACAGTATATATATATATATATATATATATATATATATATATAAAACAAAAAAGTTTAAAAAAATTGCAGATCAATGTCTTATTCTAGCAACAAATAATATTTACTCATAGATATGTGAACTAAATGAATAAAAAAGGAAAATATCTATTCATTTGTTTTAAGATATATTT